GAAACAGGAACAGATACTAGAGATCACACCTCCAGATTGCTATCTTCAAAATTACCTTCCCTGTAGTGTCAACATAAGAAAATAGGAATGAAACTCATCTGCAGAGTGATGAGATAGTGGACATACTGAACTAGTGCATCTACATGTTTAAAAACTGGATGTTCCTGTCAACATATTTAAATACTGCTATTGCAAACTCGAACAAGCTCTTCTGGTCATCATGCCCGCGGACTGCCACGGTGGAAAAATCAAACACTGAGCTGCCATACTTAAAACTACTCCTCTAAATATATATAGCAAATTTTAATTCACTTATATGTCTCAGATATGTTAGAAGTATTATTGAACACGGAAGTTATGAATCTCCTGATTCACTCTTTACTCATTATCATCCATTTTAGGTTAGTACAAAACATTTCCAAATTATCACAAAGCTGCAAATATATGGGTCTGTGCCCACTAAAGACAAAAGCAGTGGTAACTGGTTTCAAATACGATTACTTTAAAAGTCCTCAAAACATTACAGGACATCTGAAAGGATTAACAGACAAAGAAGAGATTTTTCAAAGATAATCTTATGAGGAGATGACCAAGAAAAGGATTGTACTGACACACGATTCGTCAGTATGACACATTTTGTGCTCATGAATGAGGTTAGGCAAAACTTTCCGAACAGAATACAGAGTACTGTTTCAAGAGAGAGAGACATCAAACTAGTAAATGCAACACATATGGAGTTCAGTCACGAGTCAAAACAGCTCTGAAATGTCACAGCACCAAGAAAATACTTTCCACTTCTACAGTGGCTATTTTAAAAATCATGCAAGAAATAATAACAGCAACATAAAAAGTTGTGGAGAACAACACTATGAACACACGGTAAGTATATGAGATTACGTTAAGAGTACTATGTCTGAAAAAATTATGCATCAAGAGCGCTGAAAATCCTATTTGAAAATTACGATTATTATTACTATTATTGTTTTCTAGGTTTCTGCTGCAGGGCACCTGTTCTCACTAGAGAGAAACAGAGAGAAGGAAAATGAGAAATCACCCCCTAAAGGGGAAAACGACCACACTGCAATCCCTTCTTTATTTTTCTTTTGGGGATTTTAGGCATCCCTGCACATGTGCCTGGTGTGATTTTTAAAACTGCTGGGTTCAAACTCAAACCATGCTCAGTCAGGGTGGCCTTTAACTCACAAACTCCCTGCTTCAGGCTCCCAAGTAGCTGGGTGAGCCACAACACCAGTCTTATTCTTTCAATAAATGTGATAGCAATCCAAATTATTTCATTATAAAATCACCAGCAGAAAAGCAACATCCAGATAAAGAGGAAACTCCCATAACCCAGGAGTTCTTTTTTTTTTTTTGGAGAGATTTTTCACTGTAGGGCGCGTGCGCTCGCCAGACAGACAGAGAGAGACATAGAGACAGAAAGCGAGAAATCATCCCCAGGGGGGATGGTCACGCCGCAATCCCTTCTCCTCCATTCTCCTCTCGGGATCTTGGGCACGCACGCACACGCGCCCGGCGTGAGTTTTAAGCCACCGGGTCCGGGACACGAACCGCGGTCGACTACGTGGGAGTCCAGCGACATAGCCATTACGCTAACTGCTGGTTCCCAACCCAGGAGTTCTTAACTTGGAATTTATCATAGTCTGGGCTTCAAGGGACCTGGAAGCCCTCTGGAATTTTGTGCATAATTTTCAGTATAAGATTATATGTGCATTTTTCTGGAAGAGGTATTCACAGCTTATTACCTGATTTTCATTAGATTCTTAAAACTCAAAAAAGTGAGGATCTATTGTTCTAAAGCAGGTGATTATCTAAGTACTAACATGTAACTGGGTCTTGGATAATCTCAGTAAGGGTCCATAAATCTCAAATTAATAGAAGTATTGGACTTTTCTACATTACTTATAAAAATATTCTGCTAAAAAAAAAAAAGGAAACTGAAGTTATCCTAATTAAAAGAAATGCAAACTGCAGAATGGCCACTGATAGAAGGTCCATGTAACGAAGGTGCATTCAGGAATCCCAGTGCATGGGTAGACTTTAAAATCATCTTAGTGAGGCCAGCAGGTGGTGCAGTGGTTAGGGCACTGGACTCACATGTGGTAACTTATGATTCGAGTTCGGGACCCAGAGGCTTGAAACTCACACCCAGCATGTGTGTGTGAATGCTCCCAAAATCCCAAGAGGAGAGTAGAGGAGAAAGGACTGCAGTGTGGCCATCCCCCCTGGTGATGATTTCTTACTTTCTGTCTGTCTCTCTTGAGTGAGCACATGTGCCCTATAGCAAAAATCTTTCTCCAAAAAAATATCATCCAAGAAAGAAAGGCTGAATTATTCTGAAAAGTTTGTTTGCCTTGGATTAAGGAGAGGTTATAAATGCATACACCAAGACTTAATTATCTGGATAGATTTGTATTCTAGTCTCCTCTTTTTTTAATTAACAAAAGATAGAAGCACCAGGACATAAAGATTACATGATGAAAGAACTAAATTTTTGTTTGTTTATTTTGCTACAGTGTATGTGTGTTTGCCAAAGAGAGACATGGTGAGAGGGGAAAGTGAGAAATCAGCCCCATAGAGGGATGGCCATGCTTCAATCCCTTCTCCTCCATTGTCCTCTTGGCATCCTGGGCATGTATGCACATGGATCAGCATGATTTTCAAGCCACTGAGTCCAGGACTTGAACCAGTCAGCCATGTCTGATCCAGTCGCCTTACCCACCACGCCACCTGATGGCCCGGAACTAAGCTGTTTTAAACAAAGATGATAGTGGCATTTTAGAAACAAGTGGGTGCATTTGTGGTTACTATAATGATAAGGGTTATTCTGGGCATTAGAGATGCGGGATGCTGAGACCGATCATCACATGTCAGGGCAACAAAAACCGTTCCACATCCTGCTTGTCATTCATGTGCCCTGCTGGACAGTCACATAAACAAAAGAAACTATAACTAAGTGAAGCTAGAAACAAACCCCATTGTACATATTTTTGCAAAATATTTTTTATACAATTTTAACTTCCAGGACTGTAACTTAGGGCCTACTAAGAAAATCAAAGTTAGACTACTTGTTTTTTGAAAGTTTCCCAGGACGTGTTCATCATTTTGGAAAATCACGTCACCATTAGTGATACTGTTCTTGGACCTGAGTTGACAACACAAACCACTTCTCTCAGTTTCTGGTTGTTGCTGTTCCATTCAGGTTTAGATCAAGTGCAACCCTGGGATACTTCATTATGTCTTACTCTATAGCCATGCCCAAACACTACCACTTAAAAAACATAAAACAAACAATATTTTTTCTTTTATGCTCAGTGAGGACACCCTATAGATTTAAAAGGATTCTCTGTATGGAGAAAGCTCATAGGGAAAAACTAGTAAAATTCAAATAAAGTGTGGTGTTGATGGAAAGTGCTGAGCCAGTGTTGGCTTCTAAGCTGTGACAAATAAACATATTAGTGTCAGATGTTACAGAGTGTAAAAAGAGGGCAAGGGGGATGGGACAATCTTTGTACTTTCTTTGCAACTTTTCTATAACTATTCTACTAAGAAGCTTGCTTGCTTGCTTGCTTATTGATTGATTGATTGATAGATAAATAGAGATTTTTGCCTTAGAGCCCATGCACTTGCCAGAGAGAGAGAGAGAGAGAGAGAGAGAGTGAGTGAGTCAGTGATAGGGAAAGCAAGAAATCACCTCCCCAGGGGGGATGGCCATGTTGAAACCCCTTCTCTTCCATTCTTCTCCAGGGATCTTGGGTACACACATACACAGGCCTGGCATGATTTTTAAGCCACTGGGTCTGGGACTCAAACCACAATCAGCCATATGGGAGTCTAGTGATGTAACTGCTAAGTTATCTGCTGGCCCCCCCAAAAAGGTTATTTTTAAAAAGCTTACCCTTCAAAGCACAGATTTCAAATTTGGAAGACTATCCCTCCATTTCTGTTAATACCAGTATATTTAAACTACCAAGTTTGACCACTGAACTAGATATTTTCATATGTAAATAACAGCTAAATATGAGCAAGTTCACATGTTTCAAGTTAGAATGATTTGGCCCCAGTTAAGTAGACTATGTTACAGCGTTGAAATAAATGTACTGTTCCTTTTCAGAAATAAGGAATTCAGTTTTGGGGCCAGCAGGTGGTGTGTTAAGCTGCTGGATCCCAGGTGGTTGACTGCACGGTTCAAATTCTGGACTCAGTGTTTTGAAAATAATGGTGGGCACATGTGTGTGCATGCCCAAAAACCCAAGAGAAGAGTGGAAGAGAAGGAATTTCAGTGTGGCCATCTCTTCTGGGGGATAATTTCTCACTTTCCCTCTCTCTCCCTTTCTCTCTGTCTCTCTGCGGCGAACACATGGGGCCCTATAGCAAAAACTAAAAAAAAAAAAAAAAAAGATCAGTTTTAACATTCTACACACAAAAATCGCCTCCCTTATAAATTCTCCACTTAGTTATACTATGCAATGATTTTAATACAAGTTTAGTAAAGGGAGATGTTATAAAATATTTATCATTAGGAGAGGGGGAAGGGTCTGAGAGGGTTGAAAACCATTGACCTCAACAAATTGTTGATAAGCTGAAGAGACAGCTGACTATTGGTACAGTGTATCTGGGAAGCTTATACAAAATTCCTATGGAGAAGAAAAAAAAAAAAGTACAAAGTAGAAAGTATAAGATTTGGAAGCCTTCCTTAAAGAGAGTCTTGTTTCTTTTTCCATAGGCCGGTATTCAAAGAAGCTCTCTTATTGGTGGATTAACTAATCTCTGAGTAACAATATATTGTGAGAGGAGACATGACAAAGAACATTTTGTGTTTTTACAGACACCTATGAATTTTTGAACATGTTTAGCTTCCAGAAAACAAAACAAAACAAACAAAAAAGAACCATGGTAACAGGAGGAAACTGACAGCAACAAAAAGAGAAAAAGTGGAAAAGCTATTGGTAGGTGTCTGAGAAACAAACAAAGCCACTCACCTGTGCACAAATCTGATGCATGACATGACCGAACTCATGGAAGAAAGTCCTCACCTCGTCGTGCCTCAGGAGAGAGGGACGACCTGCTACTGGCTGGGAGAAGTTCACCACCAGGGCAGCCACAGACATCATCCGACTCCCATCAGGGAGAAGGCAGCCAGGCTGAAGACCAAAGCAGGCTGCGTGATTGTATTTTCCTTCCCTATGAACCAGAAACACATGTTGGTGAGATAGGAACTCTTCTCTAACAGTGATGGCATGGCCTCTCTCAATTGGGAAGCCATATTTGATACCACAAGATGTTTTTTTCTTTAGATTTATTTTTTTTTTACTTCATCACAGTAGGACACAGAAAGAGAGAGAGAGAGGAAGAGAAAGAGGGAGAGAGAAATAAGCACCTTCATGCCACAATCCCCCACACAGCTAGTTGGAATCACAGGCATGTGCACTTGGCATGTACAGGTTGAGTGGGAACCAAACCCGCAATCTTCCATATGTATCCAGCTGTGCTTGAGCAGCTTGTTATCACTGCGTCAGAGCTAGCCCTCTAGAAGATGCTTTTAAATATTTAATTTACCTTTTAGAATGTAGATCATTTTGCTAAAATAGAAAAGCTAAATAGAACTAAACAAACAATAACCCCTCTATCACTTTGCATGAGATATATCTCTAAGTTTCTTCTGTTGAAAAATCTTACTGTAAGAACTAAGAGTGTATACTGTAATTAGTGCTAAAGTTTCTTTTAATGAGTTCCCCTTTTTTTTTCTCTTTAAAACACTCAAAAGTGTTGAAACAAATTTAAAATAAAAGATACAGTAGGCTTATGAAGTAGTTTTTTCCTGAAAATAAAAATCGGTAATAAACTAAATTCTAGATATAAGGTTTTTCCTTATTTGAGGAGGGAAGAAGCTACTATTCACAATTCAGAGAATTTCTTTTGAACTTAGGATTTTCAAAAACAGAATGCATTTAATTAGTTTAGGAAAAAGTATATACTATAAAGTTGTCTATTCTTAGACCATATGATGTCAGTGATAGTCTCTCCAAAAGCTATTAGACTTCATTTCAGAAGTAGGTCGTCATCTTCTTTTTTTTTTACTTGCCTGAGGGCACATGCACTTGCCAGAGAGAGAGTGAGACAGAGAGAGCGAAAGGGAGAAAGGACCCGCCTCATGTAGCATGGTCATGCTGCAATCCCTTTTCTCTCTTTCTCTATCTTGTCAATATTTTAGACATGCACATACCTGTGCCCAGAGTTCTTCAAGCCTCCATGGTCAGGATTTGAACTGCTTGTTCAGTGATGGGAAATCCACTGACTTTCCTAGCCAGTCAAGATTATGGATAAACATGTGCCCAGCATGAACGGGTCAATCTGGGAACCGAACCCTGATACTCCATATGGCTTCCAGCATTGCAGAGTGCTGTGCTCCCACTGTGCCACCTGGGCCTAAACAATCTTATTTTTAACGGAAAAAAACTAACTATGGAAACCTGGTAATTCCTTAGCCTGGGCTTTTTTTTTTTTAATTATTAATTTTTATTCCACTTAATACAATATGAAACACTGCATACACTTGAGAGTACTATCAGAGTCACTGCATTGCAGTAAAAACAGATAAGGAATTTCTACCAAAAATCTTCGGATAATTTAAAAAATCGAGCTTCAAATCAAAGACAGTCTATTAACCCTAAAACCATTCTGAAGTGGGACTCACGCGGGCGCATGTGTGAGTGTACCTAAGATCCTGAGAGGAGAATGGAGGAGAAAGGATTGCAGTGTGGCCATCTTCCTTGGGAGCTGATTTCTCGCTTTCTGCCTCTCTGTCTCTTTTTCTCTGGTGAGCACATGTGCCCTATTGCAAACAAATCTCTCTAAAGAAAAAAAAATTCATTCTGGAGGGGTTTTACTCTTTCCTTTTTAAAAGTAAAATTGATTTATTTTATCTCAAACTTTTCAAGGATTTCTGTATTCTGAGATCACCCCTTTTTCACATTTTCTTAATAAAATGATAGGGTTTTTTTTTTTTTTTTTTGAAGTTCTTATCTTGGAAATCTTACATGGGAACTCATCAGAGCTTTTTGTTTTTGTTTTGTATGAGCTCTCAGTATTTTACTGAAAATTCAATGTGATTAAGAGAAAAAAATTAACTGTCTTAAAAAAATACTCTGAATATCTTTTTTTGAGTCAATTAGACAAGTAAAAAAAGAAAATTCCTCTCACATTAATAAAGAGAACAGGTAAGGTGACAGGAAATAAGTATGACCTAGGCCACTACTCTCACAAAAGATTACTCTCTGGTACCCATACCAGAGTGATGGTAGCAAGGGCCAATCTCTGAGTACAAAAGAAACCACTGGTATCTAAGTACAGAGACAATAGGATGAAGCAGCAAGAACTGTTATCTTTGACACTAGAAAGAGAATCTAGAGATAGTAATAGAAGATTCTAATGTTGGGACCAGGAATTGGCATGATGGCTATGTTGCTGGACTCCAATGTAGTTGACCGTGGTTCAAGTCCCAGACCCAGTGGCTTAAACTCACACCAGGTGCATGTGCGTACATGCCCAAGATCCTGAGAGAACAGAGTAGAAGATATTGCGGCATGGCCATCCCCCCAAAGGGTGATTTCTCGCTTTCTCTCCCTCTGTCTCTTTCTGGCGAGCACACGCACCCTATAGCAAAAACCTCTCCAATAAAAAAGATTCTAATGTTGAAGGCTTACCCTTTAAAGAGTGCTTGGCTTCAGCCTATATGCTGACATTTTAAAATTAAAAAATAGACCCATCAGGACCAGCAGATGGCATAATGGTTACATCACTGGATTCCCATATCGTCGATTGTGTTTCAAGTCCCAGAACTGGTGGGCTTAAACCTACACCAGCGCATGTGCGTGTGTGCCCAAGATTCCCAAAGGAGAATGGAAGAGAAGGGACTGCAGCATGGCCATTTTTTCAGGGGTGATTTCTCACTTTCTGTTCTTTGCCTTTTTGTGTTTTCGGTGAGCATATGTGTCCTATAGCAAAAATCTCTCTTTTAAAAAAAATAGACCCACCTACATTTGATGTGTGTTATTTTTAGGTCACATCATAAGTTAAAGTAAGTTCCTAACATTTTGGGATAATTAATGTGCTAAAAGACACCTCTGCCCACTAACTGATGACATAGTTACACAGCCTCCTTTTCTACACCCAAAGTCAGTAGATTCTGAAGTCACCCAGAGTCAGTGGATTACAAACCGGTAGTTTTATTGAATGAAAGAGATATTGTAATTTCCTTTGGTCTATTTAGTAAAATGGATTAGTAACAGCAACTCGTTGGCTATGTTTTAGTTTAGGAGGAAAGAGAGCCAAATCCTTTTCTATCTCTGGAATCCACAGTTACTACATGGTTCAGAGACAATAATAATGTTTAAATTCTTACCATGGATCAATGCTTGGGCTGGGTGATTTGTGTATGTGTCTTTAATAGACAAAACAACCCTACTAGGAGATTACTAGTCCCATATTCCAGAGGAAGAGACAGAGTTTCAAGGAGGTTATATCACTCGAGTATTCAAAATTGAGTTTGACTGACTGCAAAGGTTTTGCTGTTTTCACAGTACTGTGCTGCTTCTCAGTCAGATTGAGAGGAGTGGTCATAGATTTAAGAATACTGGCAGACAGATTCCCTGAATAATAAATATTTTGGGGTCAATTTAAAATTAAGCAAATGTAGTACACAAACTAGATGATGAAGATGATGATGGCAGCAGCTAACATTTATTAAGAATGTGCTGTGTGCTGGACAGTCTTCTAAGTGCTTTCCAATGTACTTAACCAATTTAATCCTTACAACTACCCTATGGCACAGGTACTATTAGTATTCTTCCTAGATTTTTCTTTATTTCTTTTTTAAAATTAAGTTAAATTTAATTAATTAATTATTATTTTTATTATTTTGTTTGCTATAGTGCACATGCATTCACGAGAGAGAGGCAAATGGAGAGAGAAAGAGAGAGAAGGAAAGTGAGAAAGCAAGCCACCAGGTCTGGGACTTGAACTGTGGCGCCTTAATCACCACACCACTTGCCAGTCCCATATTTTTTCTTTATTTCTAAAGTTTATTTATTTCTTCTAAAAGACAGAAAGAAAGAAGACAGGGAGAGGGAGAAAGAACCCCCAACAAGATTCCAATGCCATGAATTTACCCACAGCTTTCAGCCAGCTCCAGACCAGGGGCAAGTGTATGCATTCTCAGGGAGGTCTCTGGAGTTGAAATAAGAACATTCCCATTTGAGACTGCCTCACAAAGTGTCATTCATGTTTTACCACCATGCCACTATCTGGCCCCCTCCCATTTTATAGGACCTACAATATAGATAAGAAAACCACAGCACAGAAAATATGAAGTTACTTGCCCAGTAAATGGTAAAGCCAGACATTCTAGCATCACAACCCATATTTTTAACCTCTGTACTAAAAGCCACACATGGAAAATATGGAAGAGAAGAACTAGGTAGGAATTGAATCTTTAAGGTCCCTTCCACCAGTGTGCTCCTCAGTACCTTGGATAGAGGTCCAAGTAGAACTGCCCCAATACTTCTCCTGTAGCTTTATCTTTCACGGTGTAAAGAGTAACACTTTTATTCCAAACATGAGCATCTTCCACTTGCTCAAAAGAGAGTCCCAACAACTCCTGGTAGATGCTCAGCAAGCCTTCAGTGACCACCTCAATTGGGAAGTACTCTTTGAGGAACTCTTGGTCTACAGAGTACTTGAGTTCTTCAGTCTGAGTCATGTAGTAATGCAGGTCCCAGGCATTGATTTTCCCATCATAATCGAAACTTCTTTCTTCACATTCCTTTTTCTTCAAACTCAGAATAAACTCTCGTTCTGCCTCACCCAAGGGTTTTAATTTCTGGCTTAAGTCATCTGTGAAGGAAATGGTAAATATTAGCGATCTATTGCTCTTGGGAGCGAGCACATTCACACATACCAGCAGTGTTTCAGAACGGTGCATCCTCCTTTGTGGTTCTCAATAAAGATACATCAGGAGAAAAGAGGGAAGGGGTGAATAAGGAAAGCAGGTTCTATGAGGACTGTGTACTTTTCAGAGTGATTTATTTTATGGCCCCTTGCCCCCTTTTCTTTTAGCACCTCCAAAACCAGGCCACAACTTCCTCACAGCATAAACAAAGCAAATGTTTATCTCAGAGAACTCTGATTCAAAAATGTATCCATGAAAATGCTGTGAAAAAGTAGGAAACTCATGGAGAGAGACAGCTGTGATTAAGCTAATGGGAGAATATGTGAACACAGGTAACGAGGACATTTTGCATGGGAATATGCTAATTTCAAATGACAAGGAAAACTACTGTAAGGGACTAAGTTAATCAGGTGTACTAAGGTATATGCAGCCACCAGTAAAGGAAACGTGCTCTCTAACCGGCTACCTTCCCGAGCCATCTTCTCACACAACATGCGTCAGACTGTACAGCAATGGCCTATTCCTGTGTCTGCTTTTTTCCACTCAGTAGAAAACCCACGGAGGTAAGAACATTGTCTTAATCATTTCCTCCTGTTTATAGCATACTGCCTCATATTGGGTAATTATCTCATGAATGAATAACTTAATTATATAATAATAAAAATAAGCAACTACCATGTATGGAGCACCTGTGACATAAGCCATATATAGTTCCAGCACACACATCAGTAAGTTAGGACATGGCCATTGCAGACGTAATGGAGTAAATCTGGGGCAAAAGGCTGATTTTAATACATTATAAATGATCTCCAGCTTAACTAAGCTAAGGAAAGGATGTCAAGGCAATCTGTTAAATACTTTGACGAGATGTTGAAGATGAGTAAAATTTGAAAGGCATTAGGACCACAAAAGAAAATCATACTGTCGTCAACTCTGATTAGAGATCATTACCAAAAGAAAAAAATAAAAAAGATACTCTTTACCATTTCTAAGTTATTCATTTAACTTATTCAACCATTTTTGTTAAGATGAAAGAGGAAAACAGGGTCTATTAGAACAGTGACAGCTAGATTGAGAGGGGGAAAGAGGAGGGTAATAGAAGGAAATGTTATAGACACACCATGGTTTTAAAAAAAACTTATGAAAAAAAGATTTAAAAGGAATGTGGGGACCACTAGATGGCATAAAGGTTATGTTACTGGATTCCTAAGTAGTTGGCCATGGTTTGAGTCCCAAACCTGGTGACTTAAAACTCACGCTGGGCATGTGTGCATGTGTGCCCAAGATCCTGGGTGGAGAATGGAGAAGGGACGGCAGCATGGCCATCCTCCCAGGGTATGATGTCTCTCTCTGTCTTTCTGGTGAGTGCACACACCCTATAGTAAAAATCTCTCGTAAGGAAAAAAGAAATTTGGGGACGAGAAGTTAGTGTAATGGCTATGTTGCTGGACTCCCATGTACTCGACAGCAGTTCAAGTCCCGGACCCAGCATCTTAAACTCATGCCGGGCGCGTGTGCGTGCGTGCCCAAAATCCCAAGAGGAGAAGGGATAGCAGCATGGCCATCCCGTCAGGGGGTGATTTCTCGCTTTCTGTCTCTCTGTCTCTCTCTGTCTCTCTGGCGAGTGCATGAGCCCTACAGCAAAAACCTCTCCAGAAAAAGAAAAGAATGTTGAAGATGAGTAAAATTTGAAAGGCATTAGGACCACAAAAGAAAATCATACTGTCGTCAACTCTGATTAGAGATCATTACCAAAAGAAAAAAATAAAAAAGATACTCTTTACCATTTCTAAGTTATTCATTTAACTTATTCAACCATTTTTGTTAAGATGAAAGAGGAAAACAGGGTCTATTAGAACAGTGACAGCTAGATTGAGAGGGGGAAAGAGGAGGGTAATAGAAGGAAATGTTATAGACACACCATGGTTTTAAAAAAAACTTATGAAAAAAAGATTTAAAAGGAATGTGGGGACCACTAGATGGCATAAAGGTTATGTTACTGGATTCCTAAGTAGTTGGCCATGGTTTGAGTCCCAAACCTGGTGACTTAAAACTCACGCTGGGCATGTGTGCATGTGTGCCCAAGATCCTGGGTGGAGAATGGAGAAGGGACGGCAGCATGGCCATCCTCCCAGGGTATGATGTCTCTCTCTGTCTTTCTGGTGAGTGCACACACCCTATAGTAAAAATCTCTCGTAAGGAAAAAAGAAATTTGGGGACGAGAAGTTAGTGTAATGGCTATGTTGCTGGACTCCCATGTACTCGACAGCAGTTCAAGTCCCGGACCCAGCATCTTAAACTCATGCCGGGCGCGTGTGCGTGCGTGCCCAAAATCCCAAGAGGAGAAGGGATAGCAGCATGGCCATCCCGTCAGGGGGTGATTTCTCGCTTTCTGTCTCTCTGTCTCTCTCTGTCTCTCTGGCGAGTGCATGAGCCCTACAGCAAAAACCTCTCCAGAAAAAGAAAAGAAAAAAAAAAAAAAGAAATGTGAATATAATTATTAGATAGTAGATTTTTCTCTATTTTTATTACAATTATAAATTACATATAAAACGTATCCATGTTAGATTAGATAACAGTTTTAGTGTATATTATTTTATATTACTTTTGCATATTAACAAGTAGTTTTTGGAGTATACCATGTTTATTATTTGTTTATGTGTATTCTGTCCTTGTTTATGTCACATTTGTCAGCTTATTTCATGGAAGTCATAGGTAGCCATGTTCAATCTACCAAGCACTAGTAACAGTGAACAAAGCCAGTGAGCTAATACCTTCTTTTAGGTCCCAAGATGAAGTGTTAGGAATTTTTGTAAAAATCCCAAACAAGGTCAAGAGAGAATGAAGCAAGACTGTAATAGTCACATAACAGCCACAGGCAATGAACAGCCATAGAACCAAGCAACTACCTAACACATCATGGGTGAAAAGCAAATATCTCTTGAATGAATGAAAAATAAGATGTCCTCAAAGCTGCAAAAGGTGCTAAGGCTGCCAAGTTGATATAATGCACCAAAGTGTCTTAGAAAACAAGAAAGGGAAAGCATGCTATTGATGTTTAAAAAGAACTAACCTAGGAAGGTTGTTACGCGGCTTGTGCTCTTTGCGGTGTTCATTTCAAGGACAAAGTCAGCATGTGTGCTGTAGCCAAGGAGTTTGGCCACTTTGGCCCGCAATGGGAGTAGCTGCTGCAGAATGGCGGTGTTTTCCTATTAATAAACAATAAAAACAAAGGCTAATCATTAACTTGATTCAAGGCACTGAAAAAAAAATGAGTTATCACATGTACTTCTCGGTTTGTAAAAACCATCAATTATTATTAGACCATCTTAACTTCTGGTTCCATGTCAGTACTATAAATTTTATTTTTGATTCATGATCCAATATTATTTCTGAAATAATTTATGACTTCGTAAACCTCAGGTAATAGCTATGAGGTCTTAATAAAATTTGAGGTACTATAAATATGGAGTGAAAATATATTCTTAAGGGGGCCAGAAGGTGGCAGGGTGGTTAGGGGGTGCTGGTTTCCCACAGCTGACTGTAGTTCAAGTCCTAGAACTGGTGGCCTGCTTTCTCAGTTCACTTCTCTTCCTCTCTCTCTCTCACGCTGTTCCTCTCTGGTCAAATTAAAAAAATATAATAATAATACTAAAAATAAATAAATAAAGTTAAATAAAATAATCTTTTTTAAAAAAGAAAATATATTCTTAAAAACTACAGTGATCCCACATTTATTCTCATTGATAAAACTGTAGCAAATACTGATACATAACATAAAATGTACAGAACATTTTAACTTTGTACCCATTTTAATGGCTATCACAAAAAACAACAAAACCAGAAAACAGTGTGTTGGTAAGGATGTGGAGAAACTGGAACTCTGTACAGTGTTGATGAGAATGTGAAATGGTGCTCCTGATTACAGAAAATGGTATGATAAGGGCCAGTCCCGAGGCTTAGTGGTTAAGGGAACTTAATGCCACATGGCTGACCATGGTCTGAATCCCAGATTTGCGAGCTTGAAAAACATGTCAGACGCATGTGTGTGCAAGCTCCAAATCCTAGCTGGATGAAGGAGGAGGCATTGTGGCATTACCATGGCCCATTGGAGGGTGCTTTCTCCCTCTACTACTCTTCCTAGATCTTTCTCTATCTCCATCTGGTGAGCAGATGTGCCTTCTGGGAACTAAAAATGTTTTTTAAATGGTATGGTGATTCCTCAAAAAATTAAATATAGAGGGGCCAGCAGCTGGTGTAGTGGTTAAGGCACTGGACTCCCATATGGCCTATCACAGTTTGAGTCCTGGACCTGGAGGCTTGGGCACACATGCACTGGGCACATGTGCATGTGTGCCCCAAATCCCAGGAGAATGGAGGAGAAGGGACTGCAGTGTAGCAGGGGGAGGGGTGATAGCTCGCTTTCTGTCTCTCTGTCTCTCTGGTAATCGAACGTGCCCTAAAACAAAAATATCTTAAAAAAAAAGAACATAGAACTATGAAATGATTCAGCAATTCTACTTCTTTATATATGTCCAAAAGATATAAAACTAGTGTCTCAAAGAGATCTCTGTACACCCATGTTCACAGCAGCATGATTTACAACAGGCAAGTGATGGAAGTAATCCAAATGCCTATCTAGTAGATAATGTGGCATATACATATGACAGAAAATAATTTAGCCTTAAAAATAAAGTACTGACACATGATGGATAAACCTTTAAGATGTTATGCGAAGGGAAATAAACCACAGAAAAAGACGAATATAATATACTATTACTTATATGAAGTTCTTAGAGTAGTTGATTCACAGAAACAGAAAATGGTAGTTGCTGGGGTGGGGAGAGGGGAAATCAGGAGTTAGTGCATAATGGGTATAGAGTTTCTGTTGGAAAGATAAAAAAGCTCTGTAGATAGATGGAGCTAGTAGGCTGTATAACAAGTGAATATGTTCACAACAGCATATACTTAATGCTAGACTATGAATGTCCCTCAAAATCCATGTCTTGAAACTTAATCCCTATAGTGGGTAGTACTAAGAGGTGGGGCCTTTTGGGAAGTAATTAAGTTACAGGGTTCTGTACTCATGAATGGATTAGTACCTTATAAAAGGGCTGGAGGAAAGTAGCTGGGGCACTTTTTATCCTTCAGCCTTCTGCCATGTGAGGACAGAATATTCACCTCTTCTGCCATGGGAAGACAGTAAAAAGGCCCTTTCTAGACATCAAATGTTTTAACCGTGGACTTCCCAGCCTCCAGAACTGTGAGAAATACATTTCTATTGTTTATAAATTATTCGGTCTGAGGTACTTTGTTACAGCAGCACACAGGGACTAACACATCACAGAGCTTTATATTTTAAAATGTTTGGGGATTTCTTTTCCTAAGTAAATATTAAAAACATTTTCTATATTTTATTCATAATACAAATACAATATTTTTAATGCTATGGAGATTCAGATAATTTAAACAACCATTTGCTTGGTACTCCTGACATCAAGAGAAAAGAGTGGCATGCACTCGGGACGAGCAGATGACATAATGGTTATGTCGCTGGACTCCCACACAGTCAACTGTGGTTTGAGTCTTGGATCTTAAAAAAACTCAACACGTGTGTGTGTGTGTGTGTGTGTGTGTGTCCAAAAATCTCAAAAGGAGAACAGAGGAGAAAGGACTGCAGTGTGGCAAACCTCCATGGGGAGTGATTTCTCACTTTCTGTCTCTGTCTCTCTCTGTCTCTCTGGTGAGAGCATATACCCTATAGCAAAAATCTCTAAAAAAAAAGAAAGAAAAAAGAAAAGAGCGGCACATATAGTTCCTAAACTGCAGAGATTACTTTGAGATAGCAGACTTCCTCTTCAATCCTATTATTTCAGAGGGCCCCAAAGCAGACTCCAGTAAGTTCAAGAGGAGTTGGATGACCAACACAGAGCCAGTATCTAAGATTTGGCAAGTTTAAGAACTACAACCCAAAGTGACGTTTGGGTGTAGTTATTTTAACATGCATGTAATTGGAAACTGACAGAAAAGAAACAAAAGATTTGAGGGAATTTTATCACCAAAGATATCATAAGCCTGGACTACAAAAGCTTGTCGTTATTTGATTCATAAGTAACCTTCAGGCTTCAAACTGATACTGGCAGGAATCTATCCCAGCAGTGCCCTAAGACTAGGTCATGGAGAATAATGGACAAGCAGAAACTCTACAGGCAAATCTGAGCTATAGAGTATACCTGGTAAAGGAATTCTTGCCTGAAAAGGTACCCTAGTGAGTCCAAGGAACTTCATCAGGGCACAGAATTCTCATAATTTCTGCCAGTTTTTGAAAATTGCTATGGATTGTTCTGTTTCCCATTTTTACTGGAGTCTGCTGTGGGGCCCTCTGAAACAGTAGGATTGAGGAGGAAGTGGGCAATCTCAAAGTAATCCCTGCAGTATAGGAACTCTTCTTTTTTTTTTTTAGGGATTTTGGCTGTAGGTTGTGTCCTTTTCCAAATAGAAGTTTGTTTTTTGTTTTTTTTTAAGGATTTACTTATTTTTAATTCCATTTGTTGTTATTATTTTATAATCTGACCAAAGAGAAACAGAGAGAGAGGAAGAGAAAGTGAGAAAGCAAGCCGTCAGGTCTGGTACTAGAACCACAGTCTGCCATGTGAGAATCCAGCGCCTTTAACTCCCACGTCATCTGCCAGCCCCCTAAATAGGAGTTTTTAGTGTGCTTATTCTGTTCCTATTCCACCACTGGGTAGGCTGGGATGGGGATGGGGTTAGGGGACCAAGAAGTCTTTGTTTTTGAAGGCGTTTTGAAAAACTACAACTGGGGAGAACTGTGTATCCCAGAGATCCTGTTCTTCTAGCTCAAGGTAGTAACCAACTGGCTGGAAATTGGCAAATGGAGAATAGGTCCTATGTGTGAAAAGAAGCATGCTCATGACTACTACATAGCCAGAGACGCAGACTAAAGTGAAGCTGATTAGCTGAATCTGAGAATCTATTTCTAATTCATCTTTTTTCCCCTGTTAATAATGGAAGTCCCTAAACTGAACAAATAGCTGCCAGCCAGTCTCAGTCCACATGGCAGCTAGATAATGGCTATATGATAAAATCTGGATCAAAAGGATGTGAGTGGGGAACCAGCAGTTAGCGTAATGGCTATGTCGCTGGACTCCCATGTAGTTGACCACGGTTTGTGTCCCGGACCTGGTGGCTTAAAACTCACGCCGGGCGCGTGTGCATGCGTGCCCAAGATCCTGAGAGGAGAATGGAGGAGAAGGGATTGTGGTGTGACCATCCCCTCTGGGTGACTTCTCGCTTTCTGTCTCTATGTCTCTCTCTGTCTGTCTGGTGAGCGCACACGCCCTATAGCGAAAACCTCTCCAAAAAAAAAAAAAAGGATGTGAGTGGAATTGATACATGTCATTTTCCAGGTCTTCTTAAAGATGCTTGCTCAGTACTCTTTTTCTCCACTGGAAAATGGTCATTCTAAGGAATGACCTTGTAAGTTACTTGCTGAGGGACAGATGCGTCAACAGTCCTAGACTGCTGACTTTAGAGAGGAATACAATTTTACTTTATTTAATTCATCCTATTTTTATTTTATTTTAAAAATTTTACATGTTTAATCACTATACATCACTTTTCTTGTACACTGAATTTACCCAACACAAATACACTTCATATCAGTCCAGCTGAGGATATAAAATACATTATCATCAACAGATAATAACTCATTTTTGTGTCTCATAAATGTCTTGTCTCTCTATTTTTCTCCTTAATTTCATTCTTTACACTCTCTCCCTTCTCCCAACCTCTTTCCACACTGTCTCCAGAATCTATGACCATTTTCAATGCCTTTATGTCCTCTAATCTCTCCACCATAGAATGCAGACAGTCGGTATATATTAAGTGGAGACATTCAAGTCTCTTTCATAGCCTGGCTTGCTTCACTCAGCAGTAAATCTTCCATATTCATCTACTTTCGTCAAATGCCAGGGTCTTGTTTTTTTATGGCTGAGTAGTATTCCATAGAGTATATGTGCCACATCTTCCCAATCTATTCATCTGTTCAGGGTTGGTTCCATGTCTTAGCAATTGTAAATAATGCTGCAATAAACATAGATGTGCAAACACTTTTTTGACTGAGTGTTCTATCCTTTGGGTAGATACCCAGGAGTGGAATTGCTGGATCATGTGGTACTTTTATTTGTAGGTCACAACTCATCCCAATTTTATTAGAACAGGTTGGCCTTAGACAATACCAAGGAAAGAAAAAAAAAAAAAAAGCTATAAGTCTTGTAGGTGTGAGGAATTATTAGGAAGCACAATCCACATAAGAATATTTATTTAAAGTCTCTGAGTTAACTTCAACACCTATAAACAAAGCAAACATTCTTAAAATCTTTCATGAAAAAACAAAAGAAACATTTATAGTACCTCTTTGCACCTTGTATTAAAAGCCATTTCCATCCTCCTTCTGGTTTCAGGGACACAACATTTCTTCATGACAGGAAAATAGTGTGGATATTTTAAGGTAATTTTATACTTGTCATCATCTGTCTTTTCTAAACTGTCAATGAAATCATCAGGAAGAGTACCTGCAAAAAATCATTTTTTCATACATCAATATTTCCACTCATTATTTGTTTATTTAGCATTGGCATGGTGCCTTTAAGTTGCTCTAGGAATTTTGTGGAGTAATTGGAATTCAAAACTTCTAATGACAATCCTTACACTACTATTTGATATTGCTGGAAGTGGGGGGGTGGTGGCAGTTAGAGGCCAGGTGGCTCAGGAGACGGTAATTCAAAATATGAGTAGGCTTCAGTGCACTTGTAGAGATGGTGTTTTAATGAGGAACAGACAAAATGAAGCCAAGGAAGACCCAGAAAAGAGTAAGGAGAGACTAATTTAAATTTAAATGTAGAGACCTAACAAAGCAGAAAAAAATGTTAAGGCACTGAAGTCTGTAATACACCAGCATTAAGTTATCAAGATTATGGGGGCCCAGCAGGTGGCACAGTGATTAAAGGCGCTGGACTCCTACATGGCTGATTGCCACTGGAGTCCCAGACCTGGTGGCTTGCCTTCTCACTTGTCTCTCTCTAATCAAACTGGAAAACAGTAATAATAATACATTTAAATAAAATAATTAAAAAAAATGAAATATTATAGAAAAAATTATAAAATCTTCTCTGGACTATCTCTAGAAACAGTATACATTCTTATTAGCATAAAATCTCATGGCTGGGTGGGTTGTCTTTTTTAGAAGGAGTGATGGGTTTAGATATTGGATTTTTTTCTTAATTCTTTGAACTTTGCTTTAAGTTTTATACCAGGAGAGTGAAACAAACTGAGGTAACATTATTTGCCTAAATCGTAACTTAATCTAGGAAAATAACAAAATGTTACCAAGTTCAGGCCTGGAAAATACAAGAAAGGTATCATCTTCATTAAGGTTTTTGTTAAAGTCAATGCATAGCTCACTCATTCTTTTCTTCATGGATTTGATTTCCTAAAACAAAGATAAAAATACAAGACATTAAGAATAAAAAGAAACTTTTGTCTTTGTCACCATCGGACAAGTTAAGTTTCACTTTTATATGTCTGTCAGGAAGTACGGACAAATAAGTTTCACTTTTATATGTCTGTCAGGAAGTACTTTCTTTTTTTTAATTGAATTTAATTTAAATTTCTTTTATACATTCAGTCACGTATGTCGATAAGCTTGTAAACTGAATGTTCCAACATGAACACATTTCTCACCAGTCCAGTTGGGGATTACTGTACATGTTATCGTCAACAGATAGTAACCCATAAATGTCTTACCTCTCTATTTTTCTCCTTAATGTCTTTCCTCAGACTCTCTTTCTTCTTCCACCCTCTTCCCACATTGTATCTGGTATCTATAGCCATGTCTATGTTTCTATACCCTCTAGTCATTCAGTTTCGGCCATAGAGTGCGGACAGTTGGTATATATTAAGTGGAGACATACAATGTCTCTCCTTCATAGCCTGGCTTGTTTCACTCAGCAGTAAATCTTCCATATTCATCCACTTTCTGTCAAAAGTCAAGGTCTTATTGCTTTTGATGGCTGAGTAGTATTCCATAGAGTATATGTGCCACATTTTTTCAATCCATTCTTCTGTTTGTGGACATATGGGCTGGTTCTATGCCATAGCAATTGTGGAGGAAGTAATTTCTTAAAGATGTACTTGATTTATTATATACACACACCCTTCAGCAGTTTTTCATGTCATGCCCATGTAGCACTCACAGAAAAGCAAGCCTGGTGATATGTTAGAAATTAGTTGTACACTAAAAACAGCTTCAGGAAGCATGGTAAACGCAGTATCTGGCACACAGTATATACACGATAAATACTTGCTGAGTGAATGAACATGTCTAGAAGCCCATTACTGATTAGTATATTTCTAATATTTTCTAATCAAATTTTTAATGTAGTAGTTAGGATCTAGTGCTGACGTTAACCAAGAGATAAGAACTGCCTATTCTACGTTTGCCTTGAAATAAATGGTGATGTGTTAGTTTTACATAGCTTTTGCAAACAAAGAAGATTTATGGATGCCAGCATTTACATAAAAAGTATTAAAAGAGGGAACCAGCAGTTAGCGTAATGGCTATGTCGCTGGACTCCCACGTAGTCAACCGCGGTTCGCGTCCTGGACCCGGTGGCTTAAAACTCACGCCAGGCGCGTGTGCGTGCGTGCCCAAGATCCCGAGAGGAGAATGGAGGAGAAGGGATTGCGGCGTGACCATCCCCCCTGGGGGGTGATTTCTCGTTTTCTGTCTCTATGTCTCTGTCTGTCTGGCGAGCGCACACGTCCTATAGCAAATATCTCTCCAAAAAAAAGAAAAGTATTAAAAGAAAGATCAGAGGAAGCAGTAAGAAGTATACCACAAGAAAAAACATAAAATAATTTTATTAATCTATCTCGTTCTTCTGAAAATGCAAGACAATGAAATTTACTTAAACCACTGGTACTCAAAGTATGGCTTTAACCAGAAGCATCAGCATCAATTGGGAACTTATTACAAATGCAAATTCTTGATGGGGGACAGGCAGTGGCACAGTAGTAATGTAATAGGAACAACATGGGGAAGGTCCTGGGTTCACATCCTAGAACTTCCCTGAGCACACGTGTAACCATGAAACAGGCTGGCTGAGACTGGGGCGGATTACAGTGTGAAGACCGTGTTGGGTGCCTGCCTCTCTCTCTCATAGAAGAAATAGATAAATAAACTTTGTAAACAATGCAAATTCTTTTTTTTTTTTTTTGGAGAGGTTTTTGCTATAGGGTGTGTGTGCTCACCAGTAAGACAGAGAGAGACATAGAGACAGAAAGTGAGAAATCACCCCCCAGGGGGGATGGTCACGCCACAATCCCTTCTCCTCCATTCTCCTCTTGGGATCTTGGGAATGCATGTACACGTGCCCGGCGTGAGTTTTAAGCCACTGGGTCCAGGATGTGAAGCCAGGTCGACTATGTGGGAGTCCAGCGACATAGCCATTACGCTAACTGCTGGTTCCCGACAATGCAAATTCTTGAGACTCCCCCATAAGACCACACCCTCCTCCCGAACCTACTGCCAGGCAAACTCTCCCGAGCCCTATAATCAGAATTTTAAAAACCCTCTAGGAACTTCTGATGCATCCTAAATATGAGACTAAATACTTAGTATATACTGTTCAGTGTTGTTTTCTGACATTTTGACTGTGTCCCCATTCCCCCTTCCACTTCTTCCTCACTTAAGAGCAGCCATGTGGTTCAGATGGAACCTGATCCTATCTGAAGCTCTAGGGGTGACCTCTACACCAGAAAGGTAATCATCTCCACTGATGGAGAGACTGGGTCAGATAATCTTGGCCTGACAGTCCCCTAACTAAAGGATTAGGCATGGGATCCACTCTGAATCATTAAGATTTAGGGGAGGTTTGATGGGGGCTTCTCAAGGTCCCTCTATATGGTAGAAGATGTGGGGGGTTAGATTTATAACCATTTTCGTAATGTATGGAAACCAACTTTTGGATAATACTAACACTGAAGAATACAGAATATTAGAAACAGAAAAGTCAAGTAGCCAAAGACACCACAATACCTCTAGGTCAAAATCTTCTGTTAAGTCTTTCTACCCATAGACCTAATAGTTATACAAGGAAATGCATCTCTTGTACAGTTTAAATGGGATTTTGTTAGCTGCAACCAAACCATTTGTAAAAGAATTATTTAATCTTATTTATGTATTTATTAATTATTATTATTAATTTGCTATAGGACATGTGTGCTCACTAGAGAGAGACAGAGAGAGGGGAAAGTGAGAAGCAAGCTGCCAGGTCTGGGACTCAAATTGCAGTCAGTCACGTGGGAGGGCAGCACCTTAACCACCACGCCATCTGCTGGCCCTGAACCATCTTAACTAATACAGTGCTCATGCCCCATACAGAACTGAGGACTGACCAGAAAGGCAAAGAATCAGATAGGCAAGATTAGTTACATTTGCCTTTAATTAGGATGAAGAGGACACAAGTGATCAAAGGTGAGGGAAAGGTACCAATATCTCAGTGGTGCCTTCGGTTACACCTGCCAAGCAGATATCACTTGGTTTGGCTTTCTCTCAAGTTATTTCCAGTTCTACTGGCTAGAAGAATGACCCAGAAATAAATCATGGGTTATATTTTCTGTACAAGGACAATGAGATTAATTCTGCATGGAATTTACTTCTGAACCTGTTAGACTTGACCAGCGTTAGACAAAAGAAAGTTGGAGAGGCAGTTTTTGCAGCAGGTAATCTCTCCTCCAAAGGGGTACATATTAATGGTAGGGTATTCCATTCCAATGTGCTGGTTTTAAAACTTCCCTATCAATAAGGATTTTATTCCCAATGCTCTATCTGTATGGTAAAGGAGCAAGAATACAGATTAGCTATTAAGACCTGTAACTGGCTCTGAAAGAATTTACAATAGAGCACAGAAAATAAACCCACATACATGAAGTCAATAACATTTGAACTGGATTAAAGAACAATGAGATTATCAGCTGTTTGTCAGTCACCATGAGGTTAACATGAGACATTGTAGAATTTAAAACCACTGAATAACAATGACATGGTAAATAAATTTGTATTATGGGGGTCACTTTATTACAACTCTTCTGTTTCTCTATTTCCTGAGGGGTTTTATTATTATTATTATTTTGATTTTGTTTTTCTTTTTTTTTCCTTCCAAATAACAAAAGAAAACATAAACTCACATTCTGTACTTGTTCTGGAAGATGGAGTCCATTCCTTTTTCCCATTTTAACTGACTTTTCCAAGTATCGTCTGGCTTCTGGCTTTATCATCCCCAGGTCACAGGTTTCCTGAAATTAAAGAGCTTGACAAACATTTCTATTGCAACAGCACATGGGTAAATGATAAACTATGAGGTCAAAGTAAATTTATTCATCATCTCTTTTGGGCTATGAAGCACATAGGTGATTATGAGGCAGGTCCTTTTGAAGACCTAATTTCTTTTATGCTCTAGTGAGCTTCTGCTCATTTAAAACAGAAAAATTAAATAAATAAAAAGCAAACCAGAATTGCCTTGCCTTGCATCACAATCAAGAGTGCCTGCACCACTTGCAAGTGTGATAATAGAAGCATTTGCATAATCTCATTCTGAACATTCTTTACGACTGAGTGGTCTTTTTCACACCACATAGTTCTTATCACAAATCATCTGCATTTAATTTTCTATCATTTGCTAACCTGGTTCTGCTCAAAAGGCAGGAATAGAAATAATTGGGTAAATTCTATGCAAATGTAGAGTGGGACCCTTTTGCCAGTACACCTAACAAAGACAGCTGGATAAAACCCAGCAGAGGCTTCCAGCACTTCGAACATGCCTCACTGTCATTTGGCAAAAGAGATCAAGGGGCGACGGCAAGCTGCACACGAACAAGTATCTGGGGAAAATGAGTCAGCACTGCACAGGGAGGGGGAAAGCTGGACAGTCGATCTGAATCTGCACGCAGCAGCACACTCACTCACTGGAAAGAACAGAGGGCCTGGAGAAGGGAAAATTCTCCCAGCCAGCAGCAAGGTAATAAAAACAGCAGATGTTTCTCCAAAATAGGTGGCAGAATACACATGGCACATCTGGGTGGCCAGTCACTTAGGGGCCCCTAGGAAGAAATGAGCTCCTGACAAATGCAGCAGGTATACTGGATTCAGTTTGGTTGAGAGTTAGTGAGGGACTTCTGTCTCTAGAGCCTTCTAGACCTACCATGAGTTGGACACTCTACATGGAAGACCCGGGTTGTCTTTCTCTGAACATCCCTTCTCTCCGAATAATTAGATCTCTTAAAGGACTACATTTAGCTTTAGAGATTGCATTTGAGGTTGTTGGTGCTAAGGGCATGCTGCAGCAATTCTGTACTTTAATAAAAAAACATTTTATTGTAGCAGGTAAACAGAGAGCACTATTTTAACCAGAAGGGAGGGGTTATCATTTAATACAGCAAACTATGTCCCACTTTGTCGCTACCTATATATAATTGTGTGACACAGCACTAACGCACTTATTGTGCATGCATTACTCACAGTTTCCTCTGAATTTAATCTCAGTGGAGACAGAGAACAGTTAGATGTTTTCTTCCCTTTTGTGTCCCGAGAGAATGTGAGCATGGCGGCAAGGCTGGAATCAAAACCTCCCTAGCTGGTATTGGCACCTACTGGGATTCCAGCAGCAGGTGCTTGCAATGGGAAGAACCCAGAATGGCCAGGGAGATAGCTGGGTTATGGCTGGCTCCCTCAGGGGTGGTCAGCAATTCAAACTGGTGTCCATGTGGATGTGATTAACTTGGGTTGATCTCAGCTGCATTAAACAGCGCCAGGAAGTCTGTCCTGAAGAGTGAGGCATGGCAACTGGAGTCTCCAGACAGTACAATAATGCAAGTCGTAAGGCTGGGGAGAATCCAGGCAGTAGCTATGGGTAGCGGAGGTGAGGAAAACAATCCCTGGTGAGACTGGTCCAGCAATGACTGGATTAGTTGTTAAGGACCCAGGCAAACAGGTTGAGATCCAGAGCAGAGGGCCTTCCCAGCAGGGAAGTGAGCCAGCACATGGCTGGAAAGCCACCTGGACACCAGTTCCTGGGCCATAGTTAGCCCTGCGTTTATGACAAAGGCTCAGCTTGAAGCCTGACCAGCTGACATAAGCAGAAATCCTAAACCATGGCAATGCTTGAGCAAGATGGGCTCTCACACTAGGGAGGTTTGAACTTGCCATCACTGCGGCTAGAACGGCTGGAGAGTAAACTCAACATTCATGGTCTAGATTGAAATGAAAGCTTCTTAACTCTCAAAACAGATGACACAGGTATAAACAGGTAAAAGGACAGTCTAAGAAAAACCAACCACAATTTAGGGTTTTTGTCTAAAAATGACACTTAACCAAAATCTGACTAAGTTATAACCAGAAACTTCTTGCCGTCAGGCTCTGAGGTCTCCAAAAATGTCCAGAGACCTCTGGTAAGAGCAAGGCACTTGAAATATGTGCATCTTTTTTTGTTGTGGTGGTTTGTTTGAATTTTTAAGGTTTTTGCCATAGGGTGCATGTGCTCCCAGAGAGAGACAGTGAGAGGCAAAGTGAGAAATCACCTCTGGGGGGAGGGTGGGGACAGCCATGTTGCAATCCCTTCTCCTCCATTCTCCTGGGATCTTAGGCATGCGCGCACAAGCACTGGTGTGATTTCTAAGCTGCCAGGTCCGGGATTTGAACAATGGTCGTCCATGTGGGAGTCCAGCACCTAAACATCATCTGCTGACCCCAGTATGTGCATTTTAAGCATAGTCCTGTTCCAGAGCTGATAATAATATTCTTCTTTATAATCACCAGGCAAGGCCAGAATTACTGCTCCAGGATTTTCCAGGAGGGACTTGGCCAACACTTGCAGATCGTTCTGCTGTCACCTTTCGTCCTTGGAGCTGAGCTGGCTGCAGGCCTCTGTGGGTAACGGTTCTCCTCTTTAAAGCAGAGAGGGCTAAGGTTACTTAAATCATTTTAAAATGTATATAATCTGACAGAAAGGGCCATTGTTTGGATCTCTGTGGAGACAATACTTGCTTTTCCTCAACTTCCTCTCATAGCAGACCTTTTAGATAAACAT